TTAGTTAAAAAAAAACATTTTAAAACATTTTTAATCATATTGACTTGAAAATTTTTTTTAAATATACCAAATATATTGAATATGACTTAAAAAATTTTAACATATTGAAAAAATATTTTTTAAGTCATATTCTCTTGAAAATATATTTTTAAATATGCCAAATATATTGAATATGAGTTAAAAATTTTTAACATATTATAAAAACATTTTTAACTCATATTCACTTGAAAAATATTTTTTAAATATACCAAATATATTGAATATGAGTTAAAAAAATTTTTAACATATTGAAAAATATTTTTTAAGTCATATTCTCTTGAAAATATATTTTTTAAATATGCCAAATATATTGAATATGAGTTAAAAAAATTTTTAACATATTAAAAACATTTTTAACTCATATTCACTTGAAAATATATTTTTTAAATATATTGAAAAAATATTTTGTATATGAGTTAAAAAATTTTAACAAATATATTGAATAAAAAAAATTTTTAACATATTCATATTCACTTGAAAATATATTTTTTTAAATATGCCAAATATATTGAATATGAGTTAAAAAAATTTTAACATATTGAAAAAATATTTTTAACTCATATTCACTTGAAAATATATTTTTTTAAATATGCCAAATATATTGAATATGAGTTAAAAAAAATTTTCAAGTTGAAAAAATATTTTTAACTCATATTCACTTGAAAATATATTTTTTAAATATGCCAAATATATTGAATATGAGTTAAAAAATTTTTTAACATATTATAAAAACATTTTTAACTCATATTCACTTGAAAATATATTTTTTTAAATATGCCAAATATATTGAATATGAGTTAAAAAAATTTTAACATATTGAAAAAATATTTTTAACTCATATTCACTTGAAAATATATTTTTTAAATATGCCAAATATATTGAATATGAGTTAAAAAATTTTAACTCATATTCAAAAAATATTTTTTTAACTCATATTGAATATGAGTTAAAAATTTATATTTTAAAAATTTAACCAAATTATTGAAAATTTGAAATTAAAAAATTTGAATATGACTTAAAAAGAATTTTTAACATATTGAAAAAATATTTTTAAGTCATATTCTCTTGAAAATATATTTTTAAATATGCCAAATATATTGAATATGAGTTAAAAATTTTTTAACATATTATAAAAAATTTTTTAACTCATATTCACTTGAAAATATATTTTTTAAATATGCCAAATATATTGAATATGAGTTAAAAGAATTTTAACATATTGAAAAAATATTTTTAAGTCATATTCTCTTGAAAATATATTTTTTAAATATGCCAAATATATTGAATATGAGTTAAAAAAATTTTTAACATATTATAAAAACATTTTTAACTCATATTCACTTGAAAATATTTTTTTAAATATACCAAATATATTGAATATGACTTAAAAAGAATTTTAACATATTGAAAAAATATTTTTAAGTCATATTCTCTTGAAAATATATTTTTTAAATATGCCAAATATATTGAATATGAGTTAAAAAATTTTTTAACATATTATAAAAACATTTTTAACTCATATTCACTTGAAAATATTTTTTTAAATATACCAAATATATTGAATATAGTTAAAAAGAATTTTAACATATTGAAAAAATTTTTAAGTCATATTCTCTTGAAAAATATATTTTTAAATATGCCAAATATATTGAATATGAGTTAAAAAATTTTTTAACATATTATAAAAACATTTTTAACTCATATTCACTTGAAAATATTTTTTTTAAATATACCAAATATATTGAATATGACTTAAAAAGAATTTTAACATATTGAAAAAATATTTTTAAGTCATATTCTCTTGAAAATATATTTTTTAAATATGCCAAATATATTGAATATGAGTTAAAAAATGTTTTAACATATTATAAAAACATTTTTAACTCATATTCACTTGAAAATATATTTTTTTAAATATGCCAAATATATTGAATATGAGTTAAAAAAATTTTAACATATTGAAAAAATATTTTTAACTCATATTCACTTGAAAATATATTTTTTTAAATATGCCAAATATATTGAATATGAGTTAAAAAAAAAATTAACATATTGAAAAAATATTTTTAACTCATATTCACTTGAAAATATATTTTGTTAAATATGCCAAAAATATTTTTTTAAATATTTAAAATATTGTTTGTTTAAAGAAACCTGAAATATAAAGAATTACTCTACAAACAACTGGACAAAACAGCAAACCGGGATCTCTTTGTGCCTGTCTTTTACTTATAAAGAGATTAATTAAAAATTTTCTGTTTGAAGAAAGTTATACTTACTGTATATACAACTTATAAATCATTATGCACCGGACGGACGTACCACGCAAGCATTTAAGAGCCCACGCAATCGCAGACATTTAGTATTATATAGATTATATTATATATTTATTATTTTTATTTATTAATATGCATATTTATTTATTTACATTATTTACATTGTTTGGACTGTTGTCCTCATCTTTATTGTCATATTTACAAGGTTTCGGACGTTGTATACTCCGGCCTTCTTCAGGTGATTTTATCTCCAAGGACACATAGCGCAGTGGATAAAAGCGTTGTTTGAAATAATACAGTGACTTGACCCAAGGAGTTGTACGTTCAATACCTGGCCACAGCAGAGGGGGAACAAAAAGCTGAGTTACTAAATTGAAATAAATGAAATTGAGACATGGCACGTGGAACGAGAACAATAGATAAGGTGTTATGATTACTTGCATAATTTACATTATTCGGACTGTTATCATCATCTTCATTGCCATATTCACAACGTTTCGACGGTTGTAAGCTCCGGCATTCTTCAGGATTGGAATTTCAAACCGATCCATTTATTTCGTCCACTGGGGTAGATTGTTTTAGTTCCATGTGTCATGCTTCTGATTCGAATGTTCTTCAGTATCTGTCTATATCTTTGAGATAAGGTGTTAAGATTATTTACATTATTTACATTATTCGCAATGTTATCCTAATCTTCATTGCCATATTCGCAACGTTTCGGCCGTCGTGCGGTCTTCTTCAGGTGCGATAGAATTGCAATATATAGCAACAAAAATTTCAATATAAGCTATGGTAAAAATGCAATAATAATAAAAGAGAAATTGCAATATGAGTGCTGGTAAAGGACACATGACCCAGTGGATAAAAACGTTGGTTAAATCTAGTGACTAGAAACAAAAACTAGGCTACATCAGTGCTAAATCAAAAAAACTTGGTGAGTTGAGTTAAAGGGAAATAACTGAGACATCAGGAAGAGCCATGACACGTGGAACTAGAACAATCTACCGCAGTGGACGAAATAAATGGTTCGGTTCGAAATTCCAATCCTGAAGAAGGTCGGAGCGTACAACAGCCGAAACGTTGTGAATATTGCAATGAAAATGAGGATAACAATCCGAATAATTTAAATAATGTAAGAAATTTCAATACGATCATCAATTTTTCCAACCACCATTTACACGTGGTGCGGCAAAAATACGTCCCATATAATTGTAAGACATTAGCTCAGTGTTTCTCAACTTTTCTCACTTCGGAGAGCACTTATAAAATACCTAAAACTCTGGGGCGCACTTTAAATTTTACTAAGGAAAAATAAGTCCTGAAATTTAAAAATAGGAAAATAATAAAGAAGTCTTCTGAAATAAGCAGAAATTTTTAAGACATTACTTTGTTTGGGGTATCTAGCATTTTAAAAATATGTTTTTTTCAGTATAAAGATAATTCATAAATTACTCTTCTGTAAAAATAGGGCGCACCTGGTTATTTTACAAGGGCGTATTATTGCGCCCGAGAAGACCGGTTGAGAAACGATTTAGATAGCCAAGGACTCGGTAGCCACTAAAATCATACAAAGGTACCTCCACTTTTTTCACTAAAAAAAGAGCATATCAAAATGGAGAAAGGTCCCAAACTTTATGAAAACAGTTTTATCGTTAAAATATTATTATTATTAGGAAATACCAAAGTATGCTATTATTTTATTAAATTTTTTTTAATCCTTTCTAACACGCTCAAAATTTTGGTTAAAAATCTTATTATTTTTACGTCAGCGGTTGGCCAAGAATGGCTATGAGTGTTTTAGAATTTTTTTTTTTTTAAGTAAAAAAAACACTGATTTGGAAATTCTTGCAAAAATCAGTTATTTCTTTTACCTATTGGTAATTAAAGTTTGTAATCCAAAGTTATATCCACTTTTGGTATTATCAACTGATTTTTTTCATAGTAATGAAGGACATCCTTGTAATCCTACGCTAACACTACGAGTCTTCACGGTGTCAAAAATCTCGATCTATCGAGCAAAACAAAAAAAAAAGAAACTTACGAATTTTGCTGGACAAATAAACCACAATGAACCGGAACATCTATCTTAGTAATATCTAATACGCAACGCCTGTTTACCGTATTTTCTAATACAATCGAGCAAGTCGCAGTCCAATAGTTGCCTCCCAAATTTGCTGGTGTAGCTGATACAAGTAGTTTGGGGGAGCATATATTAATGGCACAGTTCCATGAACTCTTGACCGATTTTCCTAGGAAAGCAAACAATGTGTCCCTTTGGAAATGGATATTTTAGTGCCATAAAGATGTTTACACCTAAACCCCGTTGGGACTTTATCGCGTTGACTTTCGTAGACTTGATATTTGGCCCGCATAGAGAAGAAAAGGATGAAGTATATACATTGATAAAAAAGAAAATACAAGTAAAACTGATGCTAACGAAATCGAGAGAGTAATATAAATATTGTGGTTGAAATTGGGTGGGGGAGGAAGTTGGAATAGACATGAGGTTGGAATAAAAAGACAGGATAGAATGGACAGAAAGGTTGGACTAGACAAACAGTTTGAAATAAAGAGTCAGGTTGGAATAAACAGTCAGGGACTTGATCGCGTTGACATTCGTCGACTTGATATGTGTTCCGCATTAAACAGACAGGATGGAATAGACAGACATGTTGGAATAAAGATTCAGATTGAAATAAACAGACAGGATGGAATAGACAGACAGGTTTGGAATAAAGAGTCAGGTTGGAATAAACAGAGAGGTTTGGAATAAACGGACAGGATTGAATAAACGGAGAGGATTGAATAAACGGAGAGGATTGAATAAACAGACAGGTTGGAATAGACAGACATGTTGGAATAAACGGACAGGATGGAATAAACAAACAGTTTGGAATAAAGATTCGGGTTGGAATGAACGGACAGGATGGAATAAACAGACATGTTGGAATAAACGGACAGGATGGAATAAACAAACAGGATGGAATAGACAGACATGTTGGAATAAACGGACAGGATGGAATAAACGGACAGGATGGAATAAACGGACAGGATGGAATAAACGGACAGGTTGGAATAAAGAGTTACGTTGGAATAAACAGACAAGATGGAATAGAAAGAGAGATTGGAATAAACAGACAGGTTGGAATAAAGATTCAGACTGAAATAAACAGACAGGATGGAATAGACAGACAGGTTGGAATAAAGACTCAGGTTGGAATAAACATACAGCTTTGGAATAGACAGACAGGTTGGAATAGAGAGACAGGTTAGATTAAATAGACAGGTTGGAACAAAGAGTCATGCTGGAATAAACAGTCTGTGACTTCATCACTTTGACTTTCGTAGACTAGATATGTGGCCCCACATAGTGGAGAAAAGAGTGGAATATATACATCGATAAAAAAGAAAATACAAGTAAAGCTAATGCTAACGAAATCGAGAGAGTAATACAAATATTGTGGTTGATATTACTTCCAAAATCATTTGGATTTCGTTTGATTTATTATTTTCATTAAAATGAAATTAAATAATAAACCCAGAAGGCGAATTCGTTTGTTTAAATCTCAACTAAAGTTAGTATAATATATGAAATTTGGTGCAATGATAATATGGAAGAAAAGTAGACTTTATTTTGATGACATGTAAAATGTAATATAAAACGAACCAGATAGAAGTGGTTTGATTTAGTTTATTTCATTAAATAAAAAAAGACAAAGTATCAGAATGCCTGACTGGATGTACGCGAAGATAGGGTGACTTCTTATTAGTTTATTTTTAAGCAAAATATAGCGGAACACACGCACTGTACACAGGTAATTTTTTGAAGAGGCAAAAAATCATGCATTTTCGCAGACCGGTACTATAGGGATGTTTTTTTTTTCTGGAGGAATTAAACATTCATGAAATACAAATCAGGGAGCGCACTATACTTATGGGCAGCTTATACACGAATATATACAGACGTAGATTGCAAAACTACTAAAAATATGGTATATAAACTGATCGTCTCAATCGAAAAGGAATCAGAAAAGACATAGAATAAGAATTACTTTTTATTTTTATTTTTTTTTATATTTCTTTTAATCATTTCACCCCAAGCAAGGCAATGACGCCACTAAGACGCCTCTGAGTTTACCGAGAGTAAAATAGAACGAGAACACTTGAGAAAGAACAATAAAAGAAAAAAAAACTCACGAAGACAGATGGCAATTTTTGAAGATTGTAGGTGGCAGAGATTCAAGAAACTGGAAGAGAGTCCCACGGGTGAGGAGGGAAACTACTAGAATAGAACTTCCGGTTACATTCCTTAAAAAAGAAACGTGACATCCTCTAACCTCTGGTCCGATCATTAGCACCTTAAATGAAAAAGTGAAAAAAAAAAAGTTGGCCGTTATGAAACCATGACCTCAGCGTAAATATGGCGTTCTTTTCAAAAGAGGACATGTCTAATCTGTAGAGTTAAAAGTTAAGAAAGAAAACGTAAATAACGCGCATTATCTACGCTGCACTTAGCCTTGTATCAGAGGTAGGGCTTAGCAGGAGAGTATAAAGAGTAAATTGTGTAAGAACTGTTTGAAAATTATTTCGAAAGGAAAATTTTATAGTGAAACGGTCCTAGATAAAATAAAGAATAAAATAATTTGAAAGTCTGTTGAAAGAACATTTTAAAATAGCATCTAACTGCTAGTAATATGTGTCAAAACCGGAAGGAAAAGTATTCGACCGCCAAAAGTCAGGCGTAATGTGTATAGGGAGTAAAAACACGAAGGATTGATATCACCATTCTTTTGATTTCTCCTTGATAATATGTTAGCATATTAGGTTTGTGCAGATGGAAAGAGAAGATCACTGTATAAATATATATATATATATATATATATATATATATATATATATATATATATATATATATATATATATATATATATATATATATATATATAATATATATATATATATATATATATATATATATTATATATATATATATATATATATATATATATATATATATATATATATATATATATATATATATATATATATATATATATATATATATATTATATATATATATATATATATATATATATATATATATATATATATATATATATATATATATATAATATATATATATATATATATATATATATATATATTATATATATATATATATATATATATATATATATATATATAATATATATATATATATATATATATATATATATATATATATATATATATATATATATATATATATATATATATATATATATATATATATATATATATATATATATATATATATATATATATATATATATATATATAATATAAAAGGCTCAAACACTATTCCATGGTAATAATTTATTACATTGAATTATAATCACAATCAACTCATTTGACCTACAAATTCAAAAATGAAATCAGAAAATATAACTTTAGTGACATTGTATGTGTGGGTGTTGGAAACACGTGTGAGAGGGACATGTATAAAAGCTCTAGAGAGAGGGTGTAACAGAAGAAAGGAGAACAGGAAGGTCTAGAGATGAAGGTGGGGGTTAAAAAGTAAAAGTTTTAAAGAGAGGAGTTAAATAACGGTTTAAAAGGGTGAGATACAGATAAATAGGAATTATTTTCCGATGCATAAATCGCTACCGATTCGTTTTTTATACCCGGAGTTATATTTTCCGATTTCTATTTGAATTTGTAGGTCTGATGAATTGGATCGTGATTACGATTCCAATGTAATAAATTATAACAATGGAATATTAGTGTTTAAGCCTTTTATATTATATTCTTACTCTGTACTGGACATTGAGTTCTACCTGGATTCTATCCTCTTGGGAATTTATATATATATATATATATATATATATATGTGTGTGTGTGTGTGTGTGTGTGTGTGTGTGTGTGTGTGTGTGTTGACCACTAATATATATATATATATATATATATATATATATATATATATATATATATATATATATATATATATAGAGAGAGAGAGAGAGAGAGAGAGAGATGGAAAAAGAATTAAATAAAACATGGACATCTGAGTGGGAAATAGCACAAAATATGTAATTTGAACATTATAAAATTCACGCGGGCATAGACATTTAACTATTTAGGTAGAACGACGGTAAACGGCAAAATGGATTGACAGAAATCCAAAGCCATATAGGAAGGATAACATATGTTTTCCAGAAAGTACGAAAATAGGAGATATGAAATTTTAAAAGAAAAAAAAAGCGTTGGACTGCTATGCAATATCGAATATCCAAGATGGCGCTAAGTGCTGGGCAATTTCATCAAAGAAGAGACACTTCTGCCTAGGACAGCTAAGAATAAAATGGATGGGACATACGAGACATTAGAAGATTTTAAAACGTAACTAAAAGGAATATGAAACTTACAATGAGAAACTAACTGTAGAAATTCTATACACATGAGATAAAAAAAAAACCCGAACAATTTATCTCACTCGTTTCTTGAAGCAAGCAGAAAAATAAGGACAAAAAGGAACGGTAGAGACAAAAGGTTATTTACTGGAACAAAAGACTGGAAATGGTGGAGAGCTATGATCATCCAGTTTTGAAATGATATATTGGATAAAAGAAGTGGATGGATGAGAGAGTGAGGGCAAAAAGGAATGGTAAAGAGTCAAAAATTACTTAGAGCAACAAAAGACTGGATGTGGTGGAGAGCCGTGATCATCTAGGTTCTGAAAGGATATGGCGGATAAAAGAAGTACATGGATGACAGAGGGAAGACAAAGAAGAAAGGTAAAGAGTCAAAAGTTACTTCGGGCAACAGAAGACTGGAAGTGGTGGAGAGCCGTGATCACCCGGTTTCTGAAAAAATATAGTGGATAAAAGATGTGAATGGATGATACAGTGAGGACAAAGTGGAATGGTAGAATCAAATGTTACTGAAAGCAGCAAAAGACTGGAAGTGGTGGAGAGCCGTGATCGTCCACGTTCTGGAAATATATGGTGGATAAAAGAAGTGAATGGATGACAGAGTGAGGACAAAGAGTAATGGTAAAGAGCCAAAAGATGATTAGAGCAATAAAAGTTTAGAAATGGTGGAGAGCCATAATCCTCCACGTTCTGAAATGATATAGTCTGTAAAAAAGTGAATGGATGAGGACATAGAAGGAAGTGATATTATTGAAAGAATTCTCATAGAAGCATCGGACTCGAGTAATAATTAGCAATTTGATGTGTCGTTCTTTACACGTGTTGATCAAGTTATGCGAAAATCTTCAATATCGCGTGGAAAAAAAAGCTAAATTTAAAAGTTATTGAGTATCAAGAACATTGTAAAGACAATATTTACGTGTTTATATACTTTCTTCAAAGAATACAATCTCCGGTTTCTTCAGAAGTGACAGAGCCAGAAGGAAGCAATTGAAGGGAGGAAAACCTTTCATCTACAGTTCCACGTCACCCTTCTTTCTGTTCAGCCTTATTCGTATCTCCTTGGTTACAAGCAAGCAACGAGCCACATTGTTGCGACTTGCCTTCATATATCTTGTAGGATCCACTGTAAAAAGAAACGAATGCCTGCAAGAAGAGACAACGGCGTATTATAATTTCAATTAAAATCACTATAGACCTTAGTACAATATACACAATTATTAGGATTAAAAAAGTTTTTAATTTGTTACATAAGTTCCTGATCTCCGGTTGGCGAAGGACGTCCTGGGTATGACGATAAACTACATCCGCGTCCTGGTTAAGACGATAAACCTCGTCCAGCAGCAAGGCTTCTGATCAGGAGTGTGGAACCACATCTTACCTGCTGATGTTCCCAGGTCCAATCTCACGCGGAATTGTAGTACCTGTTAGGGTCCCAGCTTTGGACAAATAGTTAACCCCTAAACTGGGAAAAAAAACACTATGAAAGTGTAAAAATAGGTTTAAATACCAGAAATACTTTGTAAAAAAATTATTACCAGCAATAAATTTTTGAAGAAAAAAAACCTATTACAAGCAATACATTTTTGTAAAAATATTACCAAGAATGTTTTTAAAAAATAAATATTACTGTCAATACATTTTTGAATAAAAATATTAGCAGCTATATATTTTTGAAAGAAAAATATTACCAGAAATAGATTTTTGACAAAACAAAATATTACCAGAAATAAAAAATTTGTCGGCATTAAATGACCCATTGAGGTTGATATGTCGTAAAACAAACCAAACCAAACCAAACCAGTTGGCGACGGTGTTGTCTTAAATAATTCCACCCCCAGCAAGGCGGCAATGCCTCTAGCACACAGGGGCGGGGGGAGGGGTTTACAGGGAGTGAAAGCGAGAGAAAAGACTGAGTATAGGGAGGATTGAAGAAAGGACAAAAGGTGAATGGGATTCCAGAAGATAAAATATAGTGATTGACATTGCATTTAAATCTTTGAAGATCGAAGTTATCAGGAAGGAAGTGCGAGAAAAGTAACTGCTGGAGTAGAAGTGGCGGTTTCATTTAAGTATTTCAACGGTAAAAATGCGGGATCTAGATAGAAATTTGTGGTATAGCCATGATCGCCTATGACCTGAAGGCACCCGGCACATCGAAGAAGATTGTGAAAGATTTTGATTGGGTGACTGGACACTGAAAAAAAATTGTAATATCAGCACTGGTAAAGGACACATGGCCAAGTGGATTAAGATGTTGGTTAGATCTAGGGACTAGAACCAAAGGCCAGGTTACATCAGTGCTGATTCAAAATCTTGGAGTTGAGTTAAAGGGAAATAATTAAGACATCCTGAAGAGGCATGGCACGTGGAACTAGAACAATCTACTCCGGTGGATGAAATGAATGGTTCAGTTCGAATTCCAATCATCTTACAAAAACCGGAACGTGAACTTCGGGTCAGGAGCAATTAAGATGTGGTTCCACGCTCCTCAAAATTTACTGATCAGAGGATGTGCTGTTGGACGTAGTTTATCGTCTTACCCAGGACGCGGATGTAGTTTATCGTCATACCCAAGACGTTAGCATGGGCTGAATTTTGAGGAAGAAGAAAGGGTCTGTTAAGTGGAATCAAAATTACAAAAATGACAGTGAATCAATCAGAAATGTAGGCATTAGTTTAGCTTGCACTTGAGCCATAAACGACGTGTGATCTAAATGTGATCCAGATAGATAGATAAAATCAAAATCTACAGATGTCTACATCGAATACTACCCCATTTTCTGATAAATCTTACCCTTCTATAAGGGATGCATTCGAAGTTTTCTAATCTCTTACGACAAGACAGCAGGATGTCCTGAACGAAAAAAAAAGAACAAGGTAACCCATAATTACAACCAGAAAGAGACAGCTATAATTCTGAAACATTTGCTTAAGAAAGAAGGCTTGGGAAATTTAATACACACACGGTTATAGAGAAATAGGTGGAAAATATCAAATAACCTTAAGGAGTTT